ATGCTTGGATTCTGAGAGTTGGTAAGCACTGATTGTATTATCCTAAATACATTTTTTTGCAGGTGTAAGATTCAAGCACTTTACTACGTAATTAAACCAACGCTGCAGTTCTGGTGGCGAGAACAAAAGATGTTCCATGACACATTTTGAATTTTGCACTTTTGCAATCAGAGCAGGTTTGATGAATTAAGTCAGAAATTAGTGTAACTCAGCCAATGAAATAACAATGAGAATTTTAAAAACATGTAAAAATTCCCTTGGGGATTTTTTTTTTTATATTATCATCACTAAGGCCGGAATTTTAAATGGAAGATTAATATGGGGTGAAAAGGTCTCTGTTTCCTCTTGAAAGGCCATTTTTCCATTCAAAAAATGTTGGCAGGCAGAAAAAAGTATATATGATCACCCATTGGGGAAGAGTATCAAAAAAGTCAAGATCACAGTTGTGATCATGCAACGCAAGCCCCCGACCCCACAAAGTTCTGACCCTCTGCAAAATAGAGACTAATTTTACTCATGCCATATGAAGTACCTCCTTGCATGTAATAGCATGACATTATGTTTTGACACATTTTGGCTAGTAATATACAAGTGTAACCAGGGGACAGATTTGTCCTGGGGATGCTCACACTATTATATACAAGCTATGCAATTGAGAGAGTACCTTTCAAGTCAAAATACTGTAGCCCACATTCCATTGATAGGGAGGAAATGCAGTGTAATGACCCACAATCAGGATGCAAGTAATATATACTGATGAGTAATTTTCTATGACCTTACTTTTCACAGGCTGAGGGTCGTACCTGGCCCATAAATTGGTATGCCAAGTTGCAGTCTGTAAAAAATGGGACCAAGTTCCCCCCAAATGAATATTATTTAGTTAAATATATCAGGTTCTATTTTAGAAAAAAAAAATTCAACATTAAAGTTTACAACTTTTGGCGAAGATCTGCAGACTGGATAGCACTCCTACCTCCGAGGTTTTTGCATGACAACCTTGTAAGGTAATTGAGTGAGAGAATGAGAGAATGAGAGCCAGAAGGAGGGAGACAAGGACACTGACCCAAAGTCACCCAGAACAACCAGTAGGAGTGAGCTTGAACCTGACCCATGTCTTAGTCTAATTCCATCTTTGTACAGTAGCACACTTGAACATTTTAGCGGCTTGTATTATGCACCTGCCTTAAATTATGCCACTCGTAAAGTGGGCCTGATTTGTATAGATTATTCAAATTAAACTAATTATATATGCCTGGACTACATAAAGAAGTAGGTTAAAAATAGAATAAAAGTGAATTATTACTTTATGGAAACATGCCAATAAATATTGATACTTTTATCTGCTTGCAAAACAGATATCAAGCTCCAATGTTTAAAAGATACAGTGTAGAAGATACAGAATATTTACTTCCAATCACCTGCTATTTACTTTAACTTAAAATCAGTTCCTGGCAAATAGATGGGGAAGAAATGGAAGTAATGACAGATTTTATTTTCCTGGGCTCCAAGATCACCGCAGATCGGGACTGCAGCCAAGAAATTAAAAGATGCTTGCTCCTGGGGAGGAACGCTGTGGGAAATCTAGACAGCATACTAAAAAGCAGAGACATCACCCTGCCAACAAAAGTGTGTGTAGTCAAGGCTATTGTTTTACCAGTTTCAATGTATGGCTGGATCATAACAAAGGCTGAGCGCCAAAGAATTGAAGCCTTTGAACTATGGTGCTGGAGAAGACTCCTGTGAGTCCCTTGGACTGTAAGGCGATCAAACCGGTCAATCCTAGAGAAGATCAACCCTGACTGCTCTTTAGAAGGCCAGATGAGAAGGAAGGATTCACTGGAAAAGAGACTAATGCTGGGAAAGATTGAGGGCAATAGAAGAACGAGACAATAAAGAATGAGGTCGCTGTATGGAGTCACTGAAGCAGTAGGCGTGAGCTTAAATGGACTCCAGAAGATAGTAGAGGACAGGAAGGCCTGGAGGAACGCTGTTCATGGGGTCGCAATGGGTCGGACACCACTTTGCAACTAACAACAACAGCCATATGGGAGCCTACTGCAAACTGGTTGAATGTATTGCATGAAGAGATATTGTTCAGAAAAGATCCTTGACTGAGCTTTGAGGTAATAGCCTAAGTGTATGTGTGGTGTTATTTTGGTTGGGAATTGGAGAGTGCTTTTTCCTTTTTTTTATTAACTAAAAAGCAATAAAAAAGAAACAATACAAAGTTTCTGAACATTTATAGGGCACTTAGTGATGTCAATGGAGATCATTCAGGTCATGGTTGTCTCAAAGGTGCCTTTTCAAAAGGCAACTGGATTGTCTTGATTTTTTTCCCCACTTTTAGGGCACTTGGTGATAATTTTTTTGGGTGGCTTACAGTAAAACCAAAACAATACATAAATATCTACATAATGCTTTTGAATAATTGGCAAAATAATTTTTGTTTTCTTTTTTAAAATGTTTAATGAGTCAGTTTTCAAACTTATTAAACTTATTATTTTTCAAAGAAAATTAGTTTTCAATCAGTTAAGATGGTACAGCTAAGATGATACTGGAGAAAGTACAGGAGAGATAGTTGAAAAAATAATTATGGACGTTGTAGCTACAGTCCTGTCCTATCTAATTCTTTCTGAGATACCTTTAAAATATGAGATGAGATCTCACATGTATCAATCTCACCTTATATTATCAGAACATAATTTACACTTTTTACCAGAGGTGTTCAACTCAGAATTTAATTAATATTATACTTTATTTTACTGCTTTTCTGTTTTTCAAGATTTAACACTCCACATCAAATGTAGGAAAATGTGTGGAAATTGGGGGCCCTTATCCTTGGTTTCATTCAATGTAAGGTTCACATGAATCATATCTTTTTTATTCAAGGAGGTAAAACAATAAATTAAAACAGAAATAACTCCAAGATCTATTTCAATATTTACTTCCAGTCAACCTGGCTCACAAATAGAATTTCATGAGATTCAGACACAATCTTTCACTGTAATCCTTTTTCTTCTAGGTACAGTAGTTCTCTTATTTATATCTCTTAAAACTAAAGTGTTTATAAAGGAATAGCATGGTCATGCAACATCTTTTTTACTGTTTTTGTCTTCCATACAATTACGGCCAATTCTTGGAGACAATGTGGATAAGTTTCTTCAGTTTTCTTGGTAAGGTTTTTCAAAATTGGTTTGCCATTGCCTTTTTCCTAGGGATAAGAAAAAGTGGCTGGCCTCAGGTCACTCAGTTGGCTTCGTGCCCAAGGCAATACTAGAACTCATCTTTTCCTGGTTTCTAATTTGATGCCTTAACCACTACACCACCTGTCTTTTTTAATGGTAATATCTGTCAAAAACCACTCTTGGGTGTGAATCTTTTTCAAACAAGGCTTTTATCATGCAGTTGACTGTCCTGTTCAGAGAACTTTACAAGGACATGTTCATAATCCATTTGGCAACCCTATTTTTTAATTAGTTACTTTTACCCCTTATTCTATTTTCTTATTAAAAAAGAAAATACTGAGCTGGAATACCACACTGTCTTTTAATGGGTAAATCAAGAAGTATTCGGGGATAACTCTAGTATTCAGTCTCTTCCTTTTTGAATCTCTGCAACCTTAAGAAGTAACAAGACAAAACTACTGGTAATGTAAGAAAAGAATCCCCACTTGAATTGACAGTTCCTACCTTTGGCACTAGATGTTGCCCTTCACCTGTCCAGCTGGATAATAAAGAGGGAAACTGTCCTTCCTATTCAGAATAACTCCCTTTCTATCATCCGTTACCACCTCCTATTTATGATATTAAAAACACTGCGGAGCAAGAAGTGAAAGGAAGCTGATGATAGGACTTGAACCAACAATGAGCCAGAAAAAGCACATTGCCTTTCATTCTATTTTCATGAGTGATTTAAAGGAAGACAGTCCAGCTTCTATGGAAAGACAAAGCAATACAATGGTAACAATTTTATCCTAACCATTTGTAAGAATTATCTGCAAAAAATGTATTTCGAAAATATCCAAGATCCTAAATTCAAAACTGTTTCAGAAATAAATATACAAAACAATCATAAAGTGGCAAATAAGAAACTATAATTTTAAAATACCTATGATTTCAGCAGTGGCTTCCAAATTGGTTAGCTAAACTTGAAGTGTTTAGCTGATAATGGTTACCTGCCAGGCATTTGGAGAGTTGGCTGATGGACTTCCCTAAGCTAGGGATCTGAAGAATTAGTCTATATTTCATTTTGCTAGGTATTTAGAAAAATAACATTAGGCACATTAACTTCCTTTGAGGATATCTAAATTATAGAAACAATAGTATTATCAGAACACTCAATTTTCCTGAACAAGATACACCAGACAAATTTTTCTAACATGGTTGTATATGTGTGTATACATATAAAATATTGGTTCTGTATGTACCTGCATAACCCTGTTTTTCAATAAAAAATATGGACCCTGATAAATCTTTCAATTATAATCAAAAGACTGTCCTTGAGAATGCTCAAGCTTATTATCAAACTTTTGAGATTCAACATTTTTGTATATACATCAGTTCATGTAAACTGAAGACATAGACACCATGGGCGAAAAACACAGAACTATCTGTATTAATATTGCGGCTAAATTAAAGCATTTCTGTGTAAAGGGATAAACAGCATTATGCCTTTATTATTCCCCTCAAATGCACAAGTTAATGTGTTAATTCACAAATTAATTATTTTTCATATAAGAAATCATTAGTCTGATGAAAGCTTTGTTCTGTCCAGGTTAGCCATGGGAAGTCACTAGCCTTGTTTACAAAATAGCTGCGATGCTACTGGGCATATACTATGAATTCATTGTATAGATAATTTTGAACAGAGTAAAACTTTGAATCCTTGCTCTCCAAAAATCAAGAGTAAAAAAAAACCCAGTGAAATATTCATTTTCTTAAGAACATCTGTATCTTTTGAGTGACCGAGCTAGGAAACTTCATGGAAAATAGCATACTTACCCCAGGCCGACATTCAAAATATGCCAATCTTGATTTTGTTAAGACGAAGAATCGAACTTTAAAGTTGGAAGGGGAGGTCCTTCTCTTTTGCTGAGATTTTTTGATCAGTTCTTCTTCCAGAAGAACAGAGTTATTCATTGCCAGCATGTAATGATCCAAATTCCAGGATGAAAAGGGATCTGCTCCTAATACTCCACACATGACACCAGGAAAGTGAAATTAGAGACAAAGACTGAACTGTCTCAAACGTGGATGCAAAAAACAATGTAGGTGCTTTATCTTTCCATCTGTCATCCAGGCCGTACTGTTCTATAGCTTCCTGATATAAAAGCCATAACCACATCCTTTCAAACACACTACACAATACATTATAATTTATGTTACTCATATAATTGAAAGGTAACTCAAAAGCTTGAATGACAACTGTTTGCTGTATTCAGCTTTAGGAAGAATTGAAATTAATATTTTTTAATCCTTGACATTTTTAAACTTGATTCCAAAGTTCAGATTTTTAATCAGCCACAGTTACTGATATACTTAAAAAAGTCTTGAGTATGCTTAATTTATGTTGATATTTCTTCATAACATTGTAGAAAATATATACATATTTTATAGACTATATAAAATATCTCTGCATATATCTCTATACTATAGAGAAATAGATCCCCTAAAATTTAAGCACTTATTTCCCAAATGCAAGCAAAGCCACCAAAATAGATTAACCATTATTCATTGATCAAAACAGTGAATCAAATAATTGAATGAAATCATTTGGCACAGATCATAATTTTTGACTAATCATAACTATATAAAATTATAACTGCTTATATTTTTAGGGTGTTTGAATGATTTTTTCTATCTATGGGCCCATTCTCTTACCCATTTATACTTTCAATTTATTGTGTGCTCATTTAGTCATTTTATTTTGTTCAGTTGTTCAACCAAGAGTATTATCAATCATGGTGTCTGTGCTCAGTTTCAGTAGAATTTGTGGGTCTGCAAATATTTTCCAATAGTTGTTTCATTGTTTTGACTTAAAGTTTAAGAAAAGCATGTAAGGCAGAGGTGTCAAACTTGATTTCATTGAGGGCTGCATCAGGGTTGTGTTTGACCTTGGGGAGGGGGGCTGGGGTGTGCATGGCCAGCTCAACTTCACTCGTGTCAGGGACTCCTGTTGTGGCTCGAGCACTCTGCCAGTAAAATAAAAAATGCATTTTGGGCTGCGACGGCCTCCTGCAATTCTCTGTCAGCAAAAATGGAGCTTAGAGGGCCTCACACAGTCCTCCTGAGCTCCATTTTCGCTGGCAGAGGGACTGCGGGCTGGTCCTTCACTGTTTCTAGGACAGCCCGCAGGCCAGATCTAAGCACCCCGTGGGCCAGATCTGGCCCCCAGGCCTTGAGTTTGACACCCCTGATATAAGGTGCGAGGAAGAATGTGGATTATCCCAATTGCTTGACTGGCTGATTAAATCAGTTAGCATGTGACTTATACCATGCATATATGGAGGTAGCCAATTATCTCCTAGCAGGAGAGAGACAATAATCTTTCTTCCAAAGAACCCTCCCTTGACCAAGGAGATCTGCACAATTAGGGGGCAGTCTTTAAATATTCTAGGATTATCTTCCTAGAAAATGTGATCAAGATAAGTTTTACAGGTATTCTTATAAATAATATTGATTTGTTTAACCTATTTGAATCAGATTTCAGCAAGATATGGTTGCTGAAATTGCTAGGTGGTTTTGACGGATTATATTTTCTAGAAACTGCATGGGGGAAATTGTGTTAGTCAATCTTCCTCTCAGTTTTATACTTGACTACTGTATTCTTCTGAACTGCCAGTCAGGATTGAGCTTTGGCTGTGCTGTTTTACAGGAATCTAGTACTTTGTTCAGAACTATGTGACACAGATGACATTAATGGACTATAATTAACTTATAGTCAATTGACCTGCAAGATTCCATTTTGGGCTCATCGACATGACCATGTTGGCAAAGATTGAAATGAGGTCAATGTGTTGATGACATCCAATTCAATTGCTCCTTTACCACCCATCTCCAACAAAAAGTCTTTGCCAAAGTCCAGGTAATGAGAATGACTGAATGTAAAATACTTTATAAAAGGTTTATAGTCTGGAAGTGATCCTTTATATTCCAACTGTCACTGGATTATTAGTAGGAAGCTGTGACAAGAAATGGATTTACACAATTATGCCTAGCCAACCATCATTTTTTTTGGTCCTATATTTAAAGAAAAGGCTGTATTCGGGGCATATTTGCTATAAGCTCTCTATGGAAGCTACTGCTGCTATTGCCAAATGGATGGCACATTAGCCAAGCTTATGCTATTAATTTTCATTATCTGTTTATATGAAATTTATGAATCCTGATACTATGCTCCTCAGTTGCTATTTCCGCTATACTCTATCATTGCTTTCTTATAGAACAGTAAACTAGGTAGCAATAATATATTACATTACATATACTACGTACTCCTAAGTATGAAGAACGTGCACAAATTGTGACATAGGCTTTCTCTTTCAATTTGTATTCAAATATTGAATTTTTGAAAATTTTGATTTAAAGGAGCATAAATTATATGCAAGATTTTTTGAATTTTTTTTATTGGTTTTTAAAAACATAAACAAAACAAACATGAAAACATCAAGCTATCTTCCATAGGTGTACATACAGTGCGCCGGTTGGTTTACAAATTGTTTTGTGCTTCCATTTCGTAGTCTTCAATTACAATTACATTGCATATCTCATATTGTCAATCAAAAATTAAATACCTTAGTATCATTAATCAATCATTTGACTATACTTTTATTCATTTATGTTTTACATCATAATTTACTAAGTTTATTTTATAACAGTTCATATTATCCCAAATCTATCCTAAAATCATTTTGTAGATATAATATGAAAGAAGTACATCTTTATATATTTATTATCTTCTAAAAGTCTACATATTTCATTACTGTATTTTATTGTCTAACCATTGATAGAAAAGATCCCAAATTTTATAAAATTGTTTATCCTCTTGTTCTCTAATTTCAAATGTCAATCTACTCATTTCAGCACATTCCAATATTTTCTTAATTTCCTCCTGTGATGGTATTTTCTCATTTTTCCAGTTTTTAGCAAATACAATCCTAGCTGCTGTTAATACATTTACAATCAGGTATTTCAAGTCTTTACTATATATTTCAGGTAAAATTCCCAATAAAAATATCTCTGGTTTCAAGTCTATATGATTTTGTTATTGAAAAAAATCCTTTTCATTCAAAGCATTCACTTAAAAGTGAAATATTTGATTCAGAAAAAAACATTTGGAATGGGTTGTTGCTCCCTCTGTATCAAGGGTGTCAAACTCATGGCCTGCGGGCTGGATGTGTCATGTGCTGGCCCCGCCCCCATCTGGTTTAGCAAAGGGAAAAGAAGTCCCAATACGTCACGTGACAACACCGTGAAGTGAGTTTGACACCACTGCTCTATATCGTTTTTTCAACCCTAAATCTTCCAAACCTGCTACTTGCATTTCTCAAAGCAAAAGGCTGTTTTCTATAAAAGCATGGCAAAACATAACTGTTCATCCTGAAGTATGTTTAGTGCTTTCTACAGATCACTGTATTTCATAAAGCAAAAGATAGTTCCTCTCAAGCCATGATTAGTGCTGCTCTCTGCTGCCCAAGTGTGGCATAACATATGTAATAAAGTGGACCACAAAATAATACATTTTTGTTTTCATTTGATCTATTAACAATGTATTTTTCATGTGAAATTTAGGTGGCAGTAGAAATTCATTTGGAAAACTAGAGGTAGAAACATATTGGATAATATGTATTGTGACAATATGTATTGATAATATGAAATCGACTATATTCTTTATGTTGTGTTACAAATATTTTCTTTTCATATGTATTTGGTATATTTATATTAATTTGGTTTATTTATATTTATATATGTGAGTCTGGGCAGCAAACAAAGCTAAAAAACACAAAAAATACAAAAAAATAGCAAATAACTTAAAAACAAAACTATCAGTGGACGAGTACAGTTTCCCTAGTAATATAAACACTTCATGTCTATGTTCCTGGATCCCTAGGCAAGATGGTAAAGCCATGTCATCAGGCTATTTTGGAAGATGGAACCAATCTGATCTACTGGTGTTCCAAAGGGTAGGGGTTCACAGCCAAAAAAAGATGTCCTCCTGGGTCTCATCAGATTACATTTTTTCATGAACAGTACTCACAATATATCCTTCCTGCTGGATCTGATAAGAGTGGATAGATGTGACTGGTGAGATACCTCAAATACCCATCTTCCAGATATGAAGAAGTGAGGCTCTACAATGAGGAATACCCTCTGATTTTCAACTGGCAGCATGTTGACTCATAATTTTAAGAACTGATCTTGTTTTCATCTAACAGTATTTTAGCATTTTGCATTATTAAAAAGGGACAAAAATGTGTTCATTACCAGAACATACATACCGTATTTGCCGGCGTATAAGACGACCCGGCGTATAAGACGACCCCCCACCACCACCGGAAACGCCCTTCAGAAATCCCCGGGGCTGCAGCGGCAGGGCAGAGTGCCAGGGGCCGTGGGAAGAGCAGGAAGGCTGCAGCCTCGGGCGGAGCAAGGCGAGCGGGATGAAGCGGAAGCGACGCAGGGGATCCAGGAAGCCAGAGGCGCCTTCGCTGCGTCCAACAAGCATCCGAAAGCCGGCAGTGGATATACCGGCGTATAAGACGACCCCCCCACTTGGAGGCATGTTTTTCGGGGCAAAAAAGTCGTCTTATACGCCGGCAAATACGGTATATTTCAACTACAATTTCCCAGGCACAGTTATCAACATACCAGTAGTAACAGACTGTCCTAATAACATAAAACAGTCACTTTAGGACAGAAGAATATGCTTCCTTTTCTGGGAGCATAAGCATAAACTACTGAAAATCTCTTTTCTACCTAGTTGCCCAATATTGTATCTAACCACCATATTTTACCCTGAGCCACCAAAAACATTAAGCAAATCCAGGTGATAAAACAAATACCTACAATAATATATAAACCATACAGATACAAGGGTAAATTTAGATTTGAATATTTCATGGTCAAGAAATTTAACAGCTGGTTTTAAAACAGCAAAGATATTTTGGGTCTCCCAACATGTTATACAGGAGCTTCCCAAGACGTTTTACTGAGCAGAATATGGTAAAATGCAATTAAATATTCCATGTACA